ACTTTTATTCAAGGAGGAATGGGTAACTATGGTGGAAATCAGGAGGTGAAAAACAGGTATAATTCAAAGGAAGGAGATATGAAAAGCCATATAGAAGCCTACTATAATACATCTCAAATCAAATAAAAAATAAGTTAGAGGATAGTAAAACACACATGAAAAGAAAAAGAGGGAAGAATAGTGAGGGTTCAAGGATTAAGCATAGAGGGCACAGTGGGATACGGGAGAGGGGGGCATGGGAGATTTGATTAGCCCAAACTACAGATGTATGAAAAGACCTAAGGAAACAAACTGTTAGTAAGCTAATTTCAAAATACAACCTAAAAGAGAATTTCAATGAAATTATCTTGCATGAGTGGACAATGTTGACTGCCTAGTCTTTCTTTGTTCTGAGAAGTATATATGGTTGAGAAGAGTGAAGGCCATTCCCACCACTTTTTGCCACATATCCTTCAGGACCAGAAGGATTCCCTTCCAGGAGAAGGCTATACAGACATAAGCCTAAAATAAAACTGGACATGTTTTCCTGGCTTCTTCCAGCAGAGAAATCTAAGGCTAATAACCTGCTAACAGTGGACAGGAACTGTGGGCTTAATTCATCTGCCACTACTCCTACAGAAAGCAAACAAATGACTCATTCAGGAAGAATGCAATGTTTATTGAGACATACCAAATGACTGGGACTAGCAGTTTTGTAAAAAATAAGTATTGTACTCTCTTCATAAATAAAAATTCCTCCTCTTTCCAGATTGCTCCTTGCTGGTTTCCTTGTGGCCCAAGGAAGTCTGCGTTCTTCCTTGCCTGAGCAGTACTGGGCATGAAGCAGTAGAACTCAGCTCTGGGACAACCTTCACACAACTTTTCCAGTTCTGTTACTGTAGAAAAGGGATTGCTTCTTGCTAAGCAACATCCCATCTAAATTGGTTTCAGATCATTAAAAGCTGCAATACTTCCAAATAAAAACTAATAGCACATCTCCAGCTTTGCCCAGATACTAAGGTCTTTGACTTTAGTAGCAATTAGATATTGCTCCACTATTGCACACTGTCTGGAAATGGAGCCAGAGTCACCAAAGAGCAACTGGAAATTAGAAGTGTGATTGTCCTTCTGCAGCTAAAGGTAGCTCCAAAAGAAGTCCCTCGGTAACCATCTCTTAGCTTCTGCAGGGCAGTCTGCAGTGCACAGTAGCAAGCAGGTTTTGGCTGCTGTTTGGAGAGGCTGCTCTTATAAACGACATTAGGCTGCAGCCCATGTCTTCCTACTTGTCAGTTTTCCTTATGGTGTTTGGATTTGGGGCATGGTCTGCTCTTAGAGCATAACCATACCAGTCTGGTCTGCTGTGGCCTAGTGACCTATCAGGTTACCAATTATGTAATCTCCATGCAGTGAAAGCGAGGTCCACTGGTGCAGGGAGTATGCTTTTCCAGACTTAGCATACCAACAAATAAGGGGGAAAGATCTGGTAAGGAATCTGAACTCTTTCTTCCAATTAAAAAAGAAGTAGCATTCTTCATTTTCTGTTAATACTATAAACTCACCTTTATGACACTGACTATAAAAGCCTGAACATTTGTTCAGTGCTGGCAGACAATATCCCCCCTTGGAGATTCTAATGCAAGGGGGAGTTTTGTGACCCTGAAGCCAGATTATGGTTTATAAAATGATGTCCTAAGTGTAATATACAGACACAAAGAATGAGATTCTGTATCCTGAAGCCATGGGCTCTGTTAAGGACCCTTTATTTGCATCCTTCACTGTTTGCTTTTATTTCATACTGGTTTACTCATGAGCAAGACTGTGAACCATGGACTAGGGGAAGGCATCTCCCCAGTGACCCACCTCCAGATTTGTCACATCCCAGAGAGTTCTAGTGGGGTGTGTTGGTTTTCCTGACACCAAATAAGGCATACAGATTGCACAGGAAAGGGCTGGCACATGTCTGGAGCCAGACTCTGACTTTTTCTGGATTGCTTTGACAGAATGATATGAATCATATAGCTTGATTTAGGATATCTTTTCAGGGTTCTGTTCATAACTGAATCATTTACTACTTCTCATTGTATGACATGAAAATATAAAAAAATGAAACCACTGCTTATCCAACAGCTAACACTGACCCTAACTTACTCCAACAGTAACAACTTTTCTCCTCCCTGCTCCCCATGTCTCCTATCTGTAGCAATCACCATGGTGACTCTTGTATTTTATCATTGCTTTGGATGTGTATCTCAGAGTGCTTTATACATTTTTAAAAAGGGGTGATTGTATAAGTCATTTTCTATTAGTTGACCCGATGAAACTGCTTATAATGGATTTTTAAATACTATTCTGCTAAGGTTCATCTATACCAATCAAGGCAGCTGTAGCTCATCCATTTTATTGCAGATGTTTTTCTCCATGTTATTGACCATTTGGATGGTTTTCAGAGTTTGTACTCTATAACCAATGTTACCATGGCCTGTTGTCATGTCTCCAGGAGTTCATATGGGCATTTATTTTTGGTGAATACACAGGAGTGGAATTGCTGGGCCACAGAATACATGACATCTCATTCTATAACAGAATGGCAAAGCCTTTTCCAAAGGTGGTGTATTGAGTACAGTCCCACCAGCAGTTAAACACCTGTTACTCTGCATCTTTTCTACTACCTCTCATTTTGCACCAGGCTAATTGATGTAAAATGATATATCTTTATGATCTTAATTTGCATTTCATAAAACACTAACGACTTCAAGCATCTCTTCCTGTGATTACTGGCCATATGTGTTGCCTCTCTGTGAAATGCCTGTGTAAGACTTTTGCCCATTTTTCAGTAATTAATTTAACTTTCCTTTTTGATTTGCAGAAGTCCAACATATACTCTTTATCCATGATGTATTTATTAGTTATAGTCATTATATATGGCCTTATGTGTTGCAACTATTCTATCCTTAAAATGTCTCCTGAAAAATAGCTACCTTTTTCTTTCTAAGAAGTGCTGTGGGTAATGCTATTTCACTGAATCTTTGTAAAAATCCTCTGTGGATGGAGAACTGGATCTTTCTGAGATACAGAGGAACTCCAAGATCTTCACTCAGGCCTCACACTCACACAAAAGCATTTAGTCACTTTGTGTTCATTATCTCCAAAATCCACAAAACTGGATATCACAGATGTAAGAGAACCAAGAAGCTTAAGGCTGGAGCATGGTAGTACAATGCAGTAAAACTTAAGAAAGCCTAATCTTGTAAGTATGATAATGGTACAGGTATATAATATTTTATTATCCTGGTTAAATATAAAGAATTAAAAATCTACTGTTTGTGTTATAGATCATGGAGCAAAAACCACATTCTGTGAGAATCTACCAAGATTCCCACACAGAACTGAGGCCTCTCCTTTTGGATTTTCTCCTGGGTTGGGGCTAGAAGTAGGGGGTGGGTGCTATTCTCATGAAGAGCATAGAAATGTGACTTAGTGGCCACAGGAATCTGCCCAAGTTGAGTTCATATCCTTGGCACTGTGCAGAAAGGCCAGACAGTTACTGAATGAACAAGGAGACAATTAAAGGAGTGTGTGTGTGTGTGTATGTGTGTGTGTGTGTGTGTGTGTGTGTTGTTGTTGTTGTTGTTGTTGTTGTTGTTGTTGGGGTAATGTCAGAATTCTTCAGGTAGGGAGGGGAGAGAGAGAAGGAAGCATGAGAGGTAATACTGAGGCTTCTAGGCAGAAAAACTGTAGTCTTGCTCTGGGGCCACTCACAGTTTATATAACCCTCATAAGTGACCTTAGGGACAGTGACTTCCCCATGCTAGGAATTCTAGACAGAAGGATGCCAACAGCAACAGCAGCAGTCACAAGACACCTGCATTTATCAAGCCACTTTCCTCCCCGTCAAGCTTTAAGAGCTACAGAACAGCACATAGCAACAGATTTCAACCCTTAGTCAAGGAATCCGAGCCTAATCATAAGTGAGACTCTGTGTCTCTGAACTTCATCTGTTTGATGATATAGCAACTCTCAGTTATTGTAGGAACAGGCTAAATAAAGGAGCAATGGCTGACCAGCTACTCAGGACAGTAACTGTGCTGGTTACATTGTACTGTTAGCTTGACACAATATAGTATTACCTGGGAAGAGGGAAGCCATTTGGAGGAACTGCCTCCAACTGATTGGCCTGTGACATTGTCTGTGAGGACATTTTCTTGATTGGTAATTTAAATTCGAGGGTCCAGCCCACTGTGGTTAGTGCAATTCCTGGGCAGGTGGGGCTGGGTTGTATAATAAAGCTGGCTGAGCATGCCAGGGACAACAAGCCAATAAGGATGTCTCCATAGTTTCCACTTTAGTTCCTGCCTTCTGGTTCCTGCCTGACTTCCTTCAAAGATGAACTGTAACATGGAATCCTGAGATGAAAAAATAACCCTTCCAAGTTGTTTTTGGCCATGGTGTTTATCACAACAGAAAGGCAAACTAGAAGGTAATGATGGGTTTTCTCTGACCTTCGTCTCTGGCTCTGATCTCTTCCCTCTCTAGTAGAGGCTCCATCCCAGAACCACTAACCTTCCCACCATCTCTGAAACATGTCTCTTCTCCATAGTATGGGCCAAAGATGCTCTCAGGTCATCTTTGCCCGATGTGTGGTCTTCCCTGTGCTAGTATCTTGGTCAGTTCGCCATGAGTACACCTGTCCTGAGGGTGCTCTTTGTTGGTGCTCTGTTTTACCAAGTGCTCTCCCCTGTAAGGGGCAGGTCCATGACCATAAGATGAACAGCATATGTGGAGAGAGGCATAAGGCTCCGTTTTAACCTGTCTGCTCGCCCCCGACCAACTTTCCTGCAGAAACTTACAATGTATTTACCACACAGCACCTCTGCAAATAAAGCTAAGAATGACATCAACTTGAGCAGTAAAAGGATATATTAGCTACAAGCTGATGTCTGGGAAGATATCTCTGGCCTAAAGAATAAAAAAATCCATGTCCCTAACCCAGCACAAGTACCCTGGTACCAATTCTTGCCTACCTTCCTGATGCCTTCCGAAGGATTGGATACACAGTTGTCAGTGCCTCCATTCTTGCTTATGGTCCGCCAGAGCTCAGCAAAAGTGCTATCCTGCTCCAGGGGATTGGTACCCTTGGCTCTGAAGTACTCATAGACAGCAGAATCCCTGACAGTGCCATAAGACATCTCCAGTTGCTTGGACAGGTCCTGAAATGTCCTGAAAGGCAGAAAAGGGGTAACAGACATTGGTACATGATGCATACTACACACTGTAAGGATAAAACAGGCTGCAAGTCCCGCCCTGAGTTCAAAGCCCTACTCTGACTTAACTATCTGCAGTCCTCACACCCTACATTCAAATGTCTCAGTCCCTCAGCCTGGAGCCAAGCCTCCATATGTCACAGCTAAGTTTTCTCAGTAGGATTACCAGGCATATGAAAACATTTCCTTTATTGAATTCAAAGCATAAAACAGT